ACTCCTATCTATAGGGCTAGGGTTAGAGAGACTCCTATCTATAGGGTTAGGGTTAGAGAGACTCTTATCTATAGGGTTAGGGTTAGAGAGACTCCTATCTATAGGGCTAGGGTTAGAGAGACTCCTATCTATAGGGTTAGGGTTAGAGAGACTCCTATCTATAGGGTTAGAGAGACTCCTATCTATAGGGTTAGGGTTAGAGAGACTCCTATCTATAGGGTTAGGGTTAGAGAGACTCCTATCTATAGGGTTAGGGTTAGAGAGACTCCTATCTATAGGGTTAGGGTTAGAGAGACTCCTATCTATAGGGTTAGGGTTAGAGAGACTCCTATCTATAGGGTTAGGGTTAGAGGACTCCAATCTATAGGGTTAGGGTTAGAGAGACTCCTGTCTAGGTTAGGGTTAGTAGAGAGACTCTATCTATAGGGTTAGGTTAGAGAGACTCCTATCTATGGGTTAGGGTTAGAGAGACTCCTATCTATAGGGTTAGGATGGGTTAGAGACTCCTATCTATCTAGGGTAGGGTAGAGAGAACTACTATAGGTAGGGTTAGTTAGAGAGACTCCTATCTATAGGGTTAGGGTTAGAGAGACTCCTATCTATAGGGTTAGGTTAGAGAGTAGGGTAGAGAGACTCCTACTCATCTATAGGGTTAGTTGGATTCTATTATAGGGTTAGGGTTAGAGAGACTCCCTATGTTAGAGAGATCTCTAGCTTTTTTAAACCTCAATACACTACTATGTTAAGATTTCTGCATTGCAGGAAAGTTATCCTGCAACAGGGTGATCAAATTACGATCCTACATCTGTAGGAATCAGTGACTTGTCTGCTTTACTGTTTTTGCTGTTGCGTTTTACTATTTGCCCTGATTGTGTTTCTATTGTATTCTGCCTATATCTAGGGATCTATCATATTCTGCAGTGTAAATCACTAGAGCTGTAAATGCTATTTGGTAGTAATAACCAAAACATCTACAGACACTATGTTTGATATACCAGGAAATTGCCATTTGAAATCTGTTATAGACATTCGTTTTTAAACTAATGTAATCATTTGCTTAAGATAAATAAAATATTATTTGCATAGTCATTACGTAACATAACATTAAACTCAAAACACCAAAGAATAAGCAAAACATTTCAGCATTTACAATAAACTTCAAATGGAGGTGACTGTGCAATGAATCTCACACTCATATTTTCTATTCTTGTAAGTACCAATGCTTTATCTATGGAGAACAATTTCATAGTCCTTGTACCTCCTGTCATCTATTGCCTAGGTTACTTGTGCAACCAATGCAAGTAAGCAGCTGTTTGACTGGTGTCGTCCGTTTTCTGACCGAGTGTTCCGTTCAAGGATTCACACGGTGTCAGAGTTCCGTTTAAGGATTCACACAGTGTCAGTGTTCCGTTCAAGGATTCACACGGTGTCAGTATTCCGTTCAAGGATTCACACGGTGTCAGTATTCCGTTCAAGGATTCACACGGTGTCAGTTCTCTGCAAGTTTGTGCTGTTGTAGATTTTTTTCCCCTCATGCTTTCTTTTGCTTTTTTACCACCAAGCATTTCTAAGTGGAGGTAATCTTAGCCCCGAGACTGTATACATTTAAACTGCCATGTATTTGAACAGGTAATTCCTTTCCCGGCCTGCAAAGCATGACCTTCATATGTGTCCCAAATGGCACCCTATTCCCATAGGGCTCTGGTCAAACTGGTCAAAAGTAGTGCACTGTATAGGGAAAAGGGTGCCAATTGGGATGCAGGCCTTCATATGTGTCAGTATAGGAACAACAGGGCCATACCCTCCACATGGAGTGTGTTTACATAGTGCCGATGTTGGGACTTTTTAAATGCCTTTTTCAAAAATGTATTTTTTCTCTTTCCCTCTGGTCGGCTCTCTATGGCAGGCTTTAAAGGAGCAGAGCAGGGTAGTAAGTTAGACGTTTTGTTTTTGTTTTTGATAAAGACACACGTTGTGTTATTGCTAACGGGTGACAAGGTGTAACTTGAGTACCTGTGTATGTTGGCTCAGGAATCTGCTGGGGCTTTTTCCTGACTTTCCTTAATTGACTTTCTAAAAGCAGAGGTCTGGGTAAAGAGGACGGGGGATGGTGGGGTTAGGAAGAAATTCACAGGATAATTTCTTAGATTCTTTCACAGGGAAATCTTATTTTGGTGTGGTCAGAACTGGGCTACACAAAATGTGTTATTTTTCTCCCTTGTGATTAAATGTTTTGAGGACAACATATTTCACATCTAGACGCTGTACTAGCAGGCCGTTCCCAGAATTCCATCACAGTTTTCTCTTGAGGACATGACCTAGACAATTATTGTAATGACATGCCTTTAGCAAATGGCTCTCTATCTCTCCATCCATCTTGTGACTCGGTTGCTTAGCCATTGGATAATGTCTCCAGGGCACTTAGGGAAAGTGTTCTACCTCACACAAGGGAAGGCATTGAGCACCTACTGTAGCAATAAAGTTAATCTAAAATTGAGCTACTTTTTAGTGGATTGGGCAGGATATTGGCTCTGATTATGCGGGAAAGAGTCAATAGAATCTGGCAACCATAGAATAACATATAAAACATACAGTAATTGAATTCTAGGATATCTGTGCTGGCAACACTGAGCCCTACTGATACCACAGAGACCTCCGGTTCTGTTAGATTAGAAGAACTCTTGAGTTAATGAGTAAAGTCTTTATCATGTCTTTATCAGGTCCTACTTGATAAAAGCTGTCATAGCCACTACGTCATGTTGTGTGTGAGTGTGTGTGTGTGTGTGTGTGTGTCTCCTGAGTGGCGCAGTGGTCTAAGGCACTGCATCGCAGTGCTAGCTGTGCCACTAGAGATCCTGGTTTGAATCCAGGCTCTGTCGTAGCCGGCCGCGACCGGGAGACTCATGGGCGGCGCACAATTGGCCCAGTGTCGTCCAGGGTAGGGGAGGGAATGGCCGGCAGGGATGTAGCTCAGTTGATAGAGCATGGCGTTTGCAACGCCAGGGTTGTGGGTTTGATTTCCATGGGGGGCCAGTATGAAAAATAAATAAAAAAATGTATTCACTAACTGTAAGTCGCTCTGGATAAGAGCGTCTGCTAAATGACTAAAATGTAAATGTAAAAAAGTGTGTGTGTGTGTGTGTGTGTGTGTGTGTGTGTATTGAGCACAGTTCCAGTTTACAGCATGAGCTTTTTATAACCCTTTTTGCATTGGTTGGTTAGAACCTGCAGGGCTTGTTGTAACTGTATGCAAATTCAAGCAGACTTTCCCCATTCATTTCTCCACAGTGATGTTGACTGGCTGAGTCAGAATGACCATCTCTGTTTGAATGGGCATTAGACTGTGATGAACTAATGTGAAGGCATTCAAATTACATCCTAGAATACATTAGTTGACATTAGTTTACAGGATTTGATTTTGTGTAAATATTTTCCACCGCTAGCAGGTTATTGATATGTTTTCATTTAACTTTACAATTTTTGGATTAGATGGAAAGGTGTTAGGCCTACATACTCATAATCTCTGTAAATTTGGTCTCTGTTGTGACAGTCCTTGTGAAGTTCCTAATCTTTTAGACGAAGGTCCCTCCTTGTGACTCAAGAGTGAATTTCCATTAAGTTTAGAGGGGGTCTGTGAAATTCAAACTTTCTACCCAAACAAGGGTGCTCTTCTCATGCTATTCTGGTCTTCATTTGCACGTCAAAGGAGCTCTAACAAAACAGAAGTGGGGTTTTTAACACCTCCAAGACTTAAGCCACGTTATCTGACAGCGACAGAGAGTGCATCCCAAATGGTACCTTATTCCCTATTTAGTGCACTAGTTTTGACCAGGGCCTATAGGGAATAGGGTGCACTATATAGGGAATAGGGTGCCATTTGCGACGGGGACAGAGAGAGGGCTCTGAAGTACGTGAACACAGAGATAAGAGAGAAGACAGAGTGATTAACGTCTCTTGATGTAAACCTCCTTCTTATCAGATACTTTAAAAGGCCTGGTTTGAAAGGGCCTAAAATTGCTGAGATTTTCGAAAGAGTAATGTGCACGGCACGCTCACCCTTAGACAATCACAGACACAAAGCCGTGTTATATAAGGGGATATCTACATTTTACATTTTAGTCATTTAGCAGACGCTCTTCTCCAGAGCGACTTAGTGCATCCATTTTCATACTGAATATCATGTCCTCATACACGTGTACTGTGGTGTGGTAATGGAAGCAAACCCCTGTCCCAATACAATCTCAACCTCTGAACCAACTGTGTTTCACTGTGATTGGGACCAGTACAACAGGTCTCTGAATGTACCGTTCTGTGTCAGTCCACAAGCCTCCTGTCCTTGAACAACCTGTGAACCATAGAGCTAGTAAAGGTATTTCATACTCAGCATTTTTACACACGCACAGCTTTGGATGTGCCCAGTACAAAAGGTCTCTGACTCAATGTACAGTTCTGTGTCATGTGACGGATGGTGATGTAAGAGGGTTTAGTCATGATTTTAAGACCAGATCCATTTAATAGTCAGGCTGTACTCCACTAACCTATCTAATATACTGTACAGTCTTATTTCTACAGTAAGGGCTGTGAGCATCCATCCAGCTCACTGTTAAACCCTACTGACCCATGCTGACCCTAAATGCAGGCTTTCCAGCAGTGATGCTGAATAGGAGGTCTATGATATGTTACAGTGGTACATCGTGTAGGGATTCAACTCTAGGATTATATTGGCATGCTATACATGATATAGTCACTTTACAACCTGTAGTCTACTGTAACTACAATCTGCCGTTCAGATACAGCCTCACTGTTGTTTCTATACGAGAGCAGACCAGTGTTTACAAAGTGTTTTCATGAAAGCAGCAACAGACCACAACGTTTGATATAGAGATGTCTCTCCCGATATAAAGCCTGAAGAACCACTGAATGAATGAGGAAATATACTAAACGTTGAATTTGGAGACATTTGATAACACTTTCTCTCCTCCTCTGTCTCCCTCGGGCAG